TTTTTTTTTTTTTTAAGTATTAAGAACTAGAATTTCCTGGAGGATTTTACCCATTTTGGTGGTGACCTCTGGGAGAACAAACTTTTGTTTTTCCTTCCAACGAGAAGGAAAAGATTCTCTGCCATTCATTAAAATTTAGTATATATAGCAAAGACCATAAAACCTTTAAAAAATGAATGACTAACTGGAAGAAATCTTTGTAAAATATTTCACAAACAAAATTAATTTCTTTAATAACAATGAGAAGCCCATGCACCACAACAAAGAGTAGCCCCTGCTCGTCACAATTAGGGAAAGCCTGTGCGCAGCAACGAAGACCTAACACAGCCAAAAATAAATTTTTAAAAATTAAATCTTTAGGGCTTCCCTGGTGGCGCAGTGGTTGAGAGTCCGCCTGCCGATGCAGGGGACACAGGTTCGTGCCCCGGTCCGGGAAGATCCCACATGCTGCGGAGCTGGGCCCGTGAGCCGTGGCCGCTGAGCCTGCGCTCCTCAACGGGAGAGGCCACAACAGTGAGAGGCCCGCGTACCGCCAAAAAAAAAAAAAATCTTTGTGGTCTAAATGTACCTCTGCTCAAACTTCTATGGAAAATCTTCCTTTACCTAAGGTGCATCACTCCAAAATTTACTGCTGAATTTTCTAGCCCTGGGCACAGAACACAATGCTAGCACAACAGAATTAGGCTGTCACATGATCCTAGTTCTGCCACCCCACCAATACCAACAATTGCCAAAAAGCACATGCCTCCAAAACCAAACTTTGTAAGTCACAGCACCAAAAGGGACACAGCTCATCATCATTGGTGTAACCATCACTCCTTCCTACTCCTTTCTCGGTCATGTTTAATAAAGATAACAAAAGAACTTAAAAATCACAATTAATGGAGGGCAAGGACGAGGTCAAAAACAGGGATTCTGTAGGCTTAATGTGGACAGTCTACTTCTTACAGGGCTTTTGAAAGGAAAGATCCCAGCAATAGAGATACTTATTTACACTCAACAGTGGTCCCCTGTGATTTCACCAAAACTCTAAGAGCCTAGAATTTTAAATGTTCTCAGATCCTCTGGCTCTACCTGGGATAAATCAACTACTCTTTAGCCCATCTCTAACATGACAGATCGGTAAGTCCCTCAATCCTTACATATTCTATCTGCCTCTGTCAGATAAGTTCTGGTTCCTGGGAGGATAACAAACCGTTTAGTGCCAAACCCCAGTAGCTTTTAAAGAGCAAATCAAAAATTTTAAAGAATAGTCAGACTTCCCTGGTGGTGCAGTGGTTTAAGAATCCACCTGCCAATGCAGGGAACACGGGTTCAAGCCCTGGTCCGGGAAGATCCCACATGCTGCAGAGCAACTAAGCCCGCGTGCCACAACTAACTGAGCCTGCACTCTAGGCCCGTGAGCCACAACTACTGAGTCCACACACCACAACTACTGAAGCCCGTGAGCCTAGAGCCCGTGCTCCGCAACAAGAGAAGCCACCACAAGGAGAAGCCCGTGCACTGCAACGAAGAGTAGCCCCCGTTTGCCCCAACTAGAGAAAGCCCGAACACAGCAATGAAGACACAACACAATAAATAAATAAATAAATAGTTTAAAAGAATAGTCAATCTTTGTCTCCAAATACACACGTTTGAAAGCAGTGAACAACTCTAGGTTTTATCAGAATATTCTCCCATCCTCTTTCTTTCCCGCCTCCAAAAACAGGCTAGTAAAACCCACTCACTCTAATACAGGTATTGATACAATATAGGCCCAAGTATGTGGCTGCCAACTAAGAACCCTAAAAGGTTCTTAGGAGGGGATATACTCAGACCCACAAATCTTGGATCTCCACCCTAAAATGTCTATCACTTTTTGATAATCGTAAGGAGATCTCCAAGGTACGATGACCAAGACTGGAAGCAAAGTTTTATTTTAACATACTTCTCCAGAGCACCTCTGTGCTTCCCCACCACACCTCTGGGTGCTGGGGTATTAAAATTTTTGGAGTCGGGCATGATTAGTTAAGAAATATTTGACTCTTTAGCATAAAGCAAAATCCAGCTCCCTCTCTACCACAACTTAGAAGATTTCATGTGTATACCCATACATCTGCTTCTCCAGGTGGGGAAATATTTGTCCCTAATTAGCAATATATATTCAAAGCAAACTATCATGTAGAGTAATGCAGGTAACTACAACACCTAAGCCCTGCCACATGACTCATTTAATTTGCTTACAACCATTTACAGAGAGGACAGGCGGGCTAGATTTTACTTGTCTTTGCCTTGTCACGAACAACTAAAACAGTGAAAATTGAAACAGATGATATGGAAAGTACCTTCCAGAGGTTGTACTGCCACTTTAAGTCAAAGGCATATGTATGCAGAATAAAGCTGTTGTAAAATGAAACCAAGAAAAAGTTTAATTCAGAAAGAACATGGGTTTTTTAGTCCTTTTAGCTAAAGAAAGATAAAGATCAAAAAATGATAAAAAATTCCATCAATAGGAACTATGGTACTTCAACCAATTTTAAGACAAACACCACATCTTTGATTTCACAGTCTAAACCTTTTGAACCCAAAGGGAGGGCAAGTGGGCAAGGTGGGCAAGATGGCTGGTGACCTAGATGGACTGTGCTCTCTGGGTACTGTGATATGGCAGGCATTACTGCCCACTTCTCCAGATGCATCAAAAAATAATTACTCTTGATTGCACTGGTGCTCTTCTGTGCAATTTCCTTGCCCACAAATCTGTTATAGCAGTACTGGGATAACGTAATTTAAGGGTTTTCCATTTGTTAGTATAAGAAGTAGACCAAGCAGACTACAGAGCAGAAAGGAACCAAGAGTTTAAGGGGAAGGAAATGCTCTTCCCTCTAAATTTTCACATACAACTCATTCCTAATCATGGTTGCTCTAATCCAATTGGTTCTAATGCTTTTCTCCACATGGAATTAAAGTTGTTACTTCAGGGAAGAATTTAATCCAGCTCCTCCTGCCTTGCAAAGGTTTATTTTAATCAGAGGGTGGCTGACTTCAATAAGAGCATTTACAGTATCCCAAGGGCTTCTTTTCCTTAAAAAAAAAAAAAAAAAAAATTTAACACCCTTGTCAGGCTCCCCTTGTTGGAAGTTTTGGGAGCAAGTTCCTATAGAACGGTCACTCTGAAACCTATGGTCACAGACCTGTAAGAATTTGATTAAACCTTATCCACAGAAAAATGCACAAGCAACAAAATTCTACAAGCCAATTATGGACCCAGGTTAAGAACTTCTAGTTTACAAGAGAGAAAGACTATGGAAAGGATCAAGGTCAGTTGGGGGAGTGGCACCCTTGAAGTCTAAAACAGGACCTCTCCCTCCCTTCCTTAACCAGCAAGCAGGAATACAGTGGGAGTACTAGTTCCTGAGAATAAGGGGTTCCACTCATGGGTAACTTTGGCTTGGGCACGCTATCTTAGAACTGCACTGCCCACAGAGTCTTTCCTTCAGTCTTCTCCTTTCAGAGGTATCAGACATGCCCCATGGTTGTTAGACTCTACCAGACCTAAGTGTATTCCTGCTGTCTTCTCTCTCCCTTTGCACATCCCAGGCATTTTCCTCAATAAAATTCTTATACTTCTAATCCTACCTTGGGGTCTGCTTCTAGGAGGAGCCAAACTACACACGTGCAGCTGCTGCTGTCTCCACAGAGCCCTGAGGAAGGCACCTTGGAGTCTTCCAGTCCTCACTCTAGCACCACACTCCAACACAGAAACTAAACCCCTTGAGACAATAACTTCTTACACATGCCCAGTGTGATAAAGCCCCTGGAAGCCAACAGACTGATGATGTTCTGGTTTCACAGACACAATGGGTAGTTTTCAGATTTTTGCCTTCAGGTCTGAGACAAGGCCTACTAAGGATAAGTGCCAATGATATGGGAGAAATGGCCTGGAAGGGCAAATCAATAATGTCAGATGTATAAAAGGCCTTACCTTTGTCAGGCCTGAAAATATGACCCTGACTCACAGTAGAAATATCTTTTACATTTATACAATAGTAAACACGGAGCTGTACAGTCATAACCAAATTCTGAAAAGTGATACCATTCGACAGGGAGAAGATGGTGTTAGGTCAAGTAAAAACAGCCAAAGCAAAAATCCTATTCCAGAGTATGAGTGACCTTTTGTATTCCCTAGAGAGATTTCAACAACAGTTAGTATAAGACTCAAAGTCAGTTCTTAAGTGTGCCAGTAGGCACTACTGAGTGTGCAAATGCTCTATTGTTTGAGGGTCACAATACCCCAATCCCAGAGCAGTAGAGGCTTTTAGCCGAAGAATTAGGTGAAATTCTGAGGTAAATACAAGGGACCATGTCAGAATCCAGCCATGCTATACCACTTGTCCTAAATCATTTCTGTTCCACTGTTAACATTCAGGGCATGCAATATTAAATGACTGTATCAACCTACCCTTTTCTCCTACTAAGACATCCAAAGATCAAATCAGCATTATTTTTCAGTTAGCACTGTGATAAAACACTATTATATAAAATAAGACAGAGAAGGATAATCTTTTTAATTAGCTTTCTCCTGAAATTCGCAAAGAGCAAAATAACCAAATGCTTTGTTTTCCAACCTTTTTTTTTTTGCCCTTTATTCTTGGTTTATGATGTTAAACTCTTAATGACAAAGAAACAAAGCCCACTTAGCTAGTTTACCAACACATTTGAAGCAAATCATAGTCATACTTCTATGTTAACCAAGCATGACAGCAAGGTGATTGAGTAGCTTTCCAAACTACCAGAGCAGCAGGCACTTGCAGAGGCTGCAGTTAAATCAGCACTTCATAAATCGTGCAGGCTCCTGCCCATTTAGATCTCTCTATGCAGAATCGGCAGTCTAACACTGGCTCTCCCAAGCATTAAAAAATCATCACTCTGCTAACCCAACTCACTGTTCAGACGGGTCTTCTTGAATGCAGCCTTTATTACAACCTCACTGCTGCTTCCTACACTGAAGGAATACCATGTTTTTAAGTCAGGAGTTCTTCTTTCTCGCTTCATTATAATCAGGGGTCTTAACAGCGACCCCGATACTGTTACAAAGCACACTGCTTTATAACAGTAAAGCTTCTGGAAAACCCAAACAAAAGACACGTCACCCGGTGACGTCAGCCTATATACAGTTCTGTGTGGTCGCAGCACATAAGCAAATCCATTCTTGTGCCGTTTCTCGGAAAAGCTTTTCAGTAAATGCACTCATGCTGCTCCAGGAGCTCTTCTCTGCAACAAGCCGCCCATCTGCCATCAACAAGTTAAGACCGAGAGAACTAACGGCTGCAGAAAGGAGAGGCTGAAGCTTTGATTAACCAGCTGAGCAGTTAGAGGAGGACGAAATTAATAACATATTCAAAACTGATTTAGGGGATCAGAGTGGTCACAGAAAATGAAACCAATGCTTTCGAGAGGAATATCCTAAGGAAAAAACAACTCACCCTGGTGGATTCAATTTTACTCGGAAAGCCTGGGACACAGAAAACAGGAAACTGGTCAAAGGCTCCCGCATGTTAGAGCCTTTTACAGACTCACTGCGTTGAGTCTGACAACCGAGACTGAATGCAGGCTCCAATGTGCTCAGAAGAATGGGTAAGTCCATGTATTTATGTGTCTTGTACAGTCAGCAAGGAATCAATGCTTTTAAAATAATAAGCCACTGAATTCACATTTTATGAGGGAGATCACTGTCACATTTTTGGATTTTGAGGTTTAGGTAAAAACATATATTGCTGATGACAGGATGTGTTTTATCTTCTTTCTTAATGGTTTAAGTTTTGTTCTAGTCATACTAACAAGGTTAGTGTTTCTGCAGCAAATGAAAAATAAGTTATATGTAGTTAAATCTTTTGCCATAATGATATGTTGTTGTTGTTGTTTTAATAGCCCATACGCTCTGCTGAAAAATATCCTATCTTCTTGTCTTCCTTAAATTATATTCTGCAGGCTTACATTTCAAGTGGCCATTAGGGGCCCCTATGCTGGCAGCAATATATGCAATGAGTATGGTTTTAAAAATGCTGCCTGCCCTGGGTATGGCATGTCCACCCAAATGCCGCTGTGAGAAGCTGCTCTTCTACTGCGACTCTCAGGGCTTCCACTCAGTGCCAAACACCACAGACAAGGGCTCTCTGGGCCTGTCCCTGAGGCACAATCACATCACAGAGCTTGAAAGGGATCAATTTGCCAGCTTCAGTCAACTTACCTGGCTCCACTTAGACCATAATCAAATATCAACAGTAAAAGAAGATGCTTTTCAAGGACTATATAAACTTAAGGAATTAATCTTAAGTTCCAACAAAATATTTTATTTACCAAACACAACTTTTACCCAACTGATTAACCTGCAAAATTTGGACCTGTCTTTTAATCAGCTGTCATCTCTGCACCCAGAGCTCTTCTATGGCCTCCGGAAGCTACAGACCTTGCATTTACGGTCCAACTCCCTGCGGACTATCCCAGTACGCCTGTTCTGGGACTGTCGTAGTCTGGAGTTTCTGGATTTGAGCACAAACCGTTTGCGAAGTTTGGCTCGCAATGGATTTGCAGGATTAATCAAACTGAGAGAGCTTCACCTAGAGCACAACCAGCTGACGAAGATTAATTTTGCTCATTTCCTACGGCTTAGCAGTCTGCACACACTCTTCTTACAATGGAACAAAATTAGCAACTTGACATGTGGGATGGAGTGGACCTGGGGCACTTTAGAAAAGCTAGACCTGACTGGAAATGAAATAAAAGCCATCGACCTGACAGTGTTTGAAACGATGCCTAATCTTAAAATACTCCTCATGGATAACAACAAGTTAAACAGCCTTGATTCCAAGATCTTAAACTCCCTGAGATCCCTCACAACCGTTGGCCTCTCTGGCAATCTGTGGGAATGCAGCCCTCGAATATGTGCTTTGGCTTCCTGGCTGGGCAGTTTCCAAGGTCGGTGGGAGCATTCCATCCTATGCCACAGCCCCGACCACACCCAAGGAGAGGATATACTAGATGCAGTCCACGGATTTCAGCTCTGCTGGAATTTATCAACCACTGTCACCGCCATGGCTACAACTTATAAAGATCCAACCACTGAATATACAAAAAGAATAAGCTCATCAAGTTACCATGTGGGAGACAAAGAAATCCCAACTACTGCGGGCATAGCAGTTACTACTGAGGAACACTTTCCCGAACCAGACAATGCCATCTTCACTCAGCGGGTAATTACGGGAACAATGGCTTTATTGTTTTCTTTCTTTTTTATTATTTTTATAGTGTTCATCTCCAGGAAGTGCTGCCCTCCCACTTTAAGAAGAATTAGGCAGTGCTCAATGATTCAGAACCACAGGCAGCTCCGATCCCAAACACGACTCCATATGTCAAACATGTCAGACCAAGGACCATATAATGAATATGAACCCACCCATGAAGGACCCTTCATCATCATTAATGGTTATGGACAGTGCAAGTGTCAGCAGCTGCCATACAAAGAATGTGAAGTATAATATCTACCCATCATCAAAAATCACATCAGATAAGTAACCTATTTTACATAGCAGGGGCTAAATACATATCTAATTTTTACCAATGGTTACATTAAGGCTCATTTTTCCAAACCAAGTGGAGACTTAGGTTTCTGACGTGTTGAAATATTTTTAATTTTTTTTAATGAAACCATATTTTCAGTGTTAAATGAAGCGATGCTCACATTAATTTGCACTCTTGTTGGAAAGTCTAAAAATGCTTAATTCAAAATAAGACATTTCATGTATGTAATTATACGCTATTGTGGGTAAACATTTACACTAAGGTCTCCATATGCTATTTTTTTCTACTGAAAACAGTTTGGAAAGAAGCTACTGAGTAGAAAGAGATATGGATCAATACTTGTTTGATCATTGCTCTCTACCCCAAGTACCACAACTTGGCTTGCTGCTTAAAAGGAGACTTAGCAAAGTTCTCTTGTATGATAATTTGGTATTTACTCAAACCTACTATTTACTGCCAGCGTGGGGAGTAGAATTTCACATATGCTGAAGACTGGTCAATATTAAACACTCTTCTTCCAGAGTTTTTACCTGGGTTAATAGATATTATCAAAGTCCATATCATGAAATCAGAACCCTTTATGTAATTCTAATATTCTTTAATATATTTAAACAATGAATCCAAGTGATTGTGAAAAGGTCTCATTACAATGAAATCAATACTAAATAATTACACTGACTTCGTTTCGTATCTCTAGTTTGACTTATAATGGACACGTTGATTTTTGTGGCATTTAGATACTTACTTTAAACTAGTGTTAAATTATCACTTTACTAATTAGTTTACTAAATCCTATATATACATTTATATGTGAAAAAAGATTTAGAAATTATTTTGGAGAGAAAAGAGATAAACTGAGTCAATTTAGCAATCCTATGACCAGCTGCTCACTCTAGTTTGAAAGCACACACAAATACACTCTCTCTCCAGTCTCTCTCTTTCTCCCCCTGTCCTCCACCCCCCACCGCCATCTCTCCCTCAACTGCCAAGATCAAAGATGCCTTGACAAAGGGGTTTAAACCTCTTTCTTCTGCCTTTTCCTGATCTTCAAGCCTCAAAGAGCCAAATTAAAAATAACTGGCTAGCAACAGGCATAATACTGATTCTTGTTAGAATATATTTTAAAGGAACCTTGAAAAAATCACTTTATAAATATTATATGCTAAATTTTGACCTTTTAATGGATACCTATTCTTACTGTAAGAGCAGGTCCTTCTAAGTGAAGGGAACAACACATATCTGAGGCAAACCTTCTCATGGCAGAACACAATATATGCTATGCAGCCACACAGTGGTAACTCGAAGGAGGTGAGGGGATGAAAGAGAAAGGCAGCATTTTGAAATATGACTCTTGCTGAAACAGGTTAGCAAAGTTAAAAGGTAGCCAAGCAAATGGGCAACTATGCATGATCTGCATCAAACAGGGCAAGGCCCAGGGACCTGCAGCTGGAAAGGGGACGGGGGGAGGTTCTCTGGTATTAATATAAATGTTCAGTAATTAAAGAATGATAATGATGCCACACTTTTCGTGTAGAAAAGAGCCACAACTTTGTTTCTTCCATTATGATTTCTATGGAGAAACTATGACATATTTAGGATTTAGATGCAAGTTACCAATTGACACAGAATTTTTCCATAAATGAGGTTCCATGTATGTAGTAGCAAAAACCATGAAATTAGATTACTGACTTGATTTTAGAAGAATGAGCATTTTTACAACTGACATTTGCTGATGAGAAAAAAGGCATAAATTCTTAGAGAAAACCACTACCATAAAAAAAAAGTTATCTTTTACTTAACATGACATCCTTCATTCAAGGCATATTTCTTCCCAGGACTGAATTGAAACATGTTAAGATTACAGTTTAATCCATGAGATTTAATACTAAGAGAGGGATGTCTACCTACATTTCAAATAAAATGTGTCTCAGTAAAAAGCAGACAAGATCACAAATTATGGTAAGAATGTGCTCTCTACAATTTTTAAGGTGGGTAGATTAGTTTGGCAAAGTCTCAGCCCATCTCAGCTGATCCTGAGCAGTGAGCATTTCACCTCTTGTTAAACCAGACACTAGGCCTGCCTGGGCAAGGACAGAAGCTGATTTTACAGCATAGAGCACGTCTCACAGCTTCCTTACAGAAGGGCTGGATCAGAAGCACCATTACAAATGAGAGCTCCACAAGCTAAAATTTACCAACCCATTTATCAGGGTAACCATGGCCATTTGTCAGAGAACAACTTTATCACAATACAACTGTGTCCTGGACACACAAGATTCCACTAGTCCTGGAGGATAGCAGAGTAGTTTCCATCATTTCAACCACAACCCAAAATTAATTGAAACTGTGAGCAGAAGGGTGAGAAATAGTGGCTGGGAGTCCCCACATTAACCCTAGAGATTACAGTTAGTGAAATGGACCGTCAATTGGCCAAATCCTTAATGTATGTAGGAAAGAAAATTGGAAAAGCAAGCCATTTAGTAATTCAGGGGAACAGCATAGCCAAGGCCACCAAGGCATACTTTTCAGTTGAAAATTAACAGATTTTTTTTTGGCCCTTCGTTTTTTGGGCAATGCTCTCTGAGAAAAGTGAATAACAGTGCCAAATAGCATTTTCCATTTCCATTTAAAGCACAAATTTCCCTTTTCAATTGCCTATAGAAGGCAGAATTTCTTTTAATTTTGGTCTATTTGTGTTTTGGTATCAGCACAGGTTTGAAGATGAGGCTGTTAGTCATATGTGCTCTCTTTACCAACTGGCTCGGGTGGAAGAGCATCACAACTACACTGCAGATCCTGGTAATATAATGTTAGGCCTTTTGTTTTTTGCTGTCGTTTTATCCTCTTCAATGCCCCCTCTCCCTTTTTTCACTTTCAAGATTAGAGGAAAATGACCACTTAAAAAACAGAAAAATAATTAAATCTCTCTGGAAAAAGCAAGCTAACAAAGGCTATGATACTGTACCCACCTAGTAACCAAGAGCTAGTTTGGAATCATTTATATTCATTTCTGTAGCTTGCCAGGGATTTCAATCACCTTTCTGAAATGAGAGTGAACTGATAAATTTGCAAATCCATACACAACTCAGAGAATACCCTCTGCCAACATCAAATAGCAAAGATACTAATTTTTTAAGCCAAAAATCTGCACTAACACATGTAATTTCTTACTGTGCCTAAGTTAATTTCTGTACCAATTCATTGAATGGAATTGATTTTACTTTCCCACTCCACTAATTATTAAAATCCATCTGCTTATTCTAATGCTAGTCACCAAGAGCTAGACTCTTTCCAATAAAAATGAACCCTATGTAACACTAGGTCTTAATCCTAAAATTCAAAACAGGCGTATCATTTTCTTAAGGCATACTTCCTACGCAACTATGAGGGGGGAGCTATAAATGTCCCGTTCTCTCCAAAGTGTGGCTATCAGTATGAAATTTTGAAATATTATTTTTAGAAGATGACTTACATGGTCATTTTCCTAATAAAGCAATACAATGACAGACTCGTCTCAAAAATCTGTTTTGGGACATGCTTTTCAATATCTTATTGGTTAAATTGCTTCAACCAGAAAAAGAAGACAAAAGTGATAAGGCCATCCACAGATAATTAAATATTTCTGTTCCTAACCTAGGGCAAACTCGTAGTACTTAAATAATTTAAGGCAAAAAACGAGTAGTAAATGACTGTTTAAGCTTTCATACTGCTATTGCAGACATTTGGAAATGTCTGCTACTCCTTCAATTAACCTATTCTTCCTTGGCAATTTTTTAAAAGCCTGATCTATGGAATGTTTGATGAACATTCCTATCAATACTGAAACCGGAAACTGAAAGTACAGTCCAAACCTATTGTGTTCAATCACCCTAAGCCATCTAGGTGGGTGGGTGGGGGTGGGAGGTTGTCAAGTGGGTCGGGAGGGTGGGAAGAAAATACAATTATACTGGGGTGGGGTGGGGGGTGGGGGACAAGTGCAGTGTACAGGGAAGTTTTGTTATTAAAATTGTGTATACTGTAAACAGCCAATGTCTTTCTTTTTTTTCCAAAGCTTTTCCTTGGTAATCTATCAATTTTGACATGTGAAAGTTGAAAACTCATTTATAACAGATATAGAAACCTTAAATGAACAGTTGTTTTGTACCATGTTCTCTATAATGCCAAATGTGCCAGTTGGAAAAAGGGCAGCTAATCATCACGTGTCTTCATTCGGAGACAGGCAAAACTAGGCTAGGAAGTAAGGCAGGGAGGGGAGGGCTGGCTAAGAAACCACCATACCAGTAAACAGCAGCCATGCAATAAGAAGCTGCTCTGTCACAAGTCTTAGCAAGTGGACAAACAGCTGTCTGTGCGGCTCACAGGGCCGAAGGTTGGCCGCCATCCCCCACCCTCCCCTGTGTTCCGCCACAGCCTGGGGAACTTCAAAAAGGTACTCAATTGCCTATACCCAGCAAACAGTAACTTGGCCTCTACCTCAGGGATCTGTTGGAGTAGATCCTAGCAGTACCTTGCACACCACTCCTGGGAAGGAGGTCCACAGGTGCTGACCATGCTGGGGTCTCTAGGATCCCTACATGACCCATTCTATCCCAGACACCAGCTCAGTAAGTATGGATAGGGGAAAAGGAGGGAAGATTTTTAACTAGCCTCCCTTGCTTGGCATAAACATCCTCAGGACAGGATGCTTTGCCTCGGCAACACTGGGGGCAGAAACCGCCCTGGCCTTGGGAATTGACCGCCACAGGTCGCTGTACTTGCCAGGGTGACCTTACTACTTCTCCAGGCCAGGAGCAGTACAACAGGACCAGACAGGCAGGAATAAACACCTAGGGATAAGGAGATCAGAGACGCTAAGGGAATTCTTACACCAGGAACCTCAGAAGAATTAGGGCAGAGGCAGGAAGCACAATACAGAATTTTACTGTCAAACTAACTCATCCAGTATGCACTAGAGGCACAGGTGATAGCAGTTTCAAGTTGCACAAAGGAATGAGTTCCTATCCTTTATAGAGTTAAAAGCAGAGCTTATTAACATAATTCTCGTACATTTTAATCTTGAAAATCCCATGTAAAGCTACATCTGATTTCTTTATCAGTTATTTTAATTAGTTTTGCCTGTATGCCACAGCATTCTCAGGTTCCCACTCAGATTTATAATAGAATTCTTCAAGGTCTGTGTGAAGAGATTTTTTTTTCTTTCTTTAAATATATCTAACCAGCTGGGTACTCGAGTCTCCCTTAGAGAGACAAAATGTACTACAAATTGTCTTTTACAAAGAAAGAAGGGAAAAAGAGGTGAAAATCACAGCTATTCCCACATCTCCCCTTAGCATGAGTTCCTCCTCACTAGCCAATGTTTTGGGAACACTTCTAAGGGACAGATGCTGAGTCTCCCTGAAGCTCTATCTGAAGGAGACCTTAAAGAGCAAGACATCTCCAAAGGCAAGTACAATGAAACATGCTTTCCTGCAAAGCCCACCAGTGAATATACCCTCCCTTTAAACACGGAGGCCAAGAGCAAAGCTAGCCCATCCTCCATCTCAGGACCTCCAACATGAAAGAGCATCTGTGAACAACAATCCTGAAGGCAGGGGCCAACGGCTCTACCACCACCCAAAGAGAGAAGGCTCTTCCCTCATTTGGGAACCAGATTTTAAAACTGCAGCCCCAGAGACAATTCCCAAAGCCTTTTCACAACTTCCATGAAGAGACTTCACCAAGAACCACAGCAAAGAGATGTAAAAATGTCATAACTTTACTGAATATCCATTCACAATTGTGTTCAGTGCACAAAAACTCCATCTTTAGGCCCTGGTATTTCTACCAAGTGCACGCACGCACGCACACACACACACACACACACACACACAAAATCTCCAGGTTGCTTTTTCTGGAAAATCATACGATAAAAACTCTACAGCCATTTATCTGCTTCATTATCATGAGAACCAAAAAAGTTCCTCCTGTGATAAACAAAAACATTTCCTATGGCCTCACTGCCAAATACATAGAGGGTAAGTGCTCAGCACCTAAAGATCTCTGAAAACAATGTATTTATCATTTACATATAGCCTAAAAGTCAAGGAAACTTAGCAAAATACATTCATATGTACAGAATGATTGAAATAAGGATGTAAAAAGATCAAAAGCAGGGATTCTTAATTCTAAGGGTCCAGGATATGTTTCATAGGATGCAAGAATCTCTTGAAATTATATTGCAAATATTGTGTTGAGTCTAACAATTTCACCAGATCCTAAACCATTTTGGTTAACTCACAAAAAAGCCCTAACAGAGCAATGAAACAATTCTAGTATACACTAATTGGGCCTTGATCTTCCTGGCCAAGGCAAAGAAGAAAATCAACAGCTTTCGTCTGATAAAGGAAGCACATTGGTTTATTTGGAGGGAATGACACAAATGCAAAAGTCTGTGAATTATCTTTAAAATAGAGCCAGCTTTAGGAACAATAAGGAAACATGTCAGACAATATCCCCAAGGAGCTTTTAGAGAACAGGAAGACATGTTTTTCATGTCAACCCTTGAAAAAACTATGGGAAAGGAGGCGACACAAGCATGATGCATGCTTTGTGGTATGATCTAACCTTTGTTGTGACCCAAGGCAAGGGCCTGTAAAGTCAGAAAGAATGAATATGCACCTACTTGGAAGAACAGTTCATGTTTCCTCCTTATCACATCCCTGGGACCCAAACTAGAGTGTTCCATCACATAAGGGACACCCAGTAAATTCCTAATCCATTACATTATAAATCTTCTAGGCTAGGAGTACAATTTAAAATTTAAAACTCTTCCACTACATTACGAATGAAGAGAAGCACATTTCATGCATCATCACTAGTTATGCTGATGATAATCATAAATGTTCTCCTTGGGTAAGAATCTATAAGATGATAACTAATTTTCAAAGAAAGAACACATTTAAAAAGATAAAGCGTTCAATGGTCTGAATAGCTGTCAGAAATTTAACAGTCTCTTTAAAATTTAAAACCCATTCTGTATGCTGTTAGCAAAACCTCCTAGGTTTCAACAGGAGCAAATAGAGACCTGTGTTCAGAGACCTGCCCCACACTTGGGCCTGTCACCCTGGACAAGTCCATCAGCCTTACTGTGCCTTGGGTCTCTCACCCTTAAGTTGGAATTAATAGCAGTAACAACCAAAAGGGAATTCAATACATGCAAAGTCCTGAGAAAGTCCTGAACACAGTAAATATTTAACAAATGTTTGCTATTTTTAGTAACAATATGTGGAGAACTAGATGAGAGAGATCCACCAAGTAGAGAATATAATCACATTAAAGACATGTAAGGCCCCTGAGTTGCTCACTGAAACTCGCTACTTTCTAGTATTACTTCCCTCACTAAGTTAATGTATAGTATCTAAAATGAAGATTGACAATTAGTGAGAGCTTTTAATAAGCCAATAGCCGGGATACACTTTTTGTATCTAATATTGATATAGAACTGACCATATCATCTCATAGTCAAGTAATCTGCTTTATATAAATGTACTATTATATTAGTCATGACATTACTTTAGTTTGGCTTCATGAATCAAGGCTAAATTTCATAAGATTTAGAATCCATATTTCCAAAATTCCTTCTGGGTAAGAAAGTCACTTAAAAATCAAGTAATGTTGGGCTTCCCTGGTGTCGCAGTGGTTGAGAGTCCACCTGCCGATGCAGGGGACACGGGTTCATGCCCCGGTCCGGGAGGATCCCACATGCCGCGGAGCGGCTGGGCCCATGAACCATGGCTGCTGAGCCTTCGCGTCCGGAGCCTGTGCTCCGCAACGGGAGAGGCCACCACAGAGAGAGGCCTACGTACCGCAAAAAAAAATAATATAAAATTAAAAAATCAAGTAATGTCTTTCCTTGTTCAGTAAAATTATATAGGACAACACATACTATCCATTATCACAAACAGATTCTGTTTTTCAAAATAAATATAAAATAATCTCATTGATATCTCGGCCTCTGACAAATTTTAGTACAAAATACATAACTGAGAATTAAGGATCACTATTATGTTTGGGTTTCTTTGCTTAGGAAAAAATGTACTTCAAGCCTACCACATCTAATTTAGGAAGCAGCCCATCCAATTGTGGCAGATTTGGTTCCTAGGCAGATTTGTCAGAATTATTGAGGGGTCTGAGCAAGAAGGGAAGTACGAGAATTTTAAAAGACAAAGATAACCCGTCAATCCAGGAGGATATGTTTCATGACTATTGTACAGTGATCCTCCATATTACCAAAATCTCTATTAAATATAAAGCTTGTGCAGAATTAACCTGTCTGAATGAAGACACATATCTGGTCATATCAGAACCTACAGATCTTATGGCCCAGATTTTTCAACTCAAGAACTTTTTCTTGACATTGTCTTCCCCAAGATCATGATCCAGTTTATCCAACAAGGCAAATTACTTTATCTGCTCCTTCACCTGCAACTTTTCTGCACTTTCCCCATCTCTTGACCCTAGGCTTGTTCTCCTTCCTCTTTTACCACCACATAAACAAGCTTTTCACAGTTCTCCTTCTCTTCATGGTTTCCAAAACTCCAAGGATAAACAACCTTATTGGGGGGAAACTGTTCAGTTGTAGTATATCCAGTGCTAAGCAGCCCCTTTTTAAGAAATAGCCATAATTTCAAAAATACTCCTCAACTCCACAAAACCAAGTGTCTGTCAGCTTCAAACTAATCCATACAACTTGGAAAATACTGTTAGAAACACAATTACGCATCTGAGTTGTCTTCTCAGTATACCCTTCCCTTTGCATAGGTTCAAGTAACAAATAATGTTTATTCACTTTGCTTTTACTTTCAAAAGACAAGAAATACCAGTCA